TCTCTCTCTCTCTCTCTCTCTCTCTCTATCTATCTATCTATCTATCTATCTATCTATCTATCTATCTATCAATAATTGTTTTTGTTTTCATTGCAGATAATCATCAAATATATCAGATATTTTATTTTAGTTCATAAATTTGCGAATAAATATAATAATTAATTGTTTTTAAAATGAATTTATTAAAATAAATATTGTTCTTTTTAAATAATAAAAATAAATGAAGTTAGTTAATTCATCAAAAATTAAATAATATACAGTACTTATCCAAAACAATAAATTAATTTTTATAACATCTTATGTCAATTAATTTTTATAAAAGTAATAAAAATTAAGTTACATTATAAATTATCTCATAATTATAAAATTCTTTCTTAATAATTTTACATTAAATTAATTTTTATGACAAACAAGTCTTAATAATCTCATATGAGTGACCACTTCACTGATGTCTTCTTTGGCCAAAAACAATGTCCACGCATTAGGGTTGGGCCGATCGGCTCCGAGATTATTGTAGACATTAAACACAATGTCCGCCAAATCCGGACATTGATTGTACGGCAAACCACTGGCAGTGAAGTATGACTTATATACTGACATTAGCACAGGTAAATATGCTGAAAATATGCAAATGTAAACATTTAATTAATTATTTATTCGTAATAATTAAGTTTTACATAATTAATACATTGGCATATGGTAATATTATTGGCGAATAACAAATACAAACCTATTATTTGGCGCCGATTTACAGCAAAAGTCACTTTTCTCGTCTCAAACTCGTTGATTGTAAATCCAGTGTCACTTAACTCCCGGCGCCAGACGTCTAACTGTTGGTCAACGGACGGACACCACTCCAGGCGCTGATTGGCCGGCAGTTTATCGCTGAGATCATCAAACAATGGGATATTGGCGCGAATTGTGCCGCCGGTGACCAACAGTTGCCGACATATTGACAAAAGTTGGTACTTATCGTGGAAATAGTGAAATGAAAAGTTACTAAATATGAGGTCCACTTTGGACTCCAGGCGCCGGATATTGTCGCTCAGCTCCGGCCACGAGACGGACATGTCTTGTGTGATGTACTCAACAGTTGATACACTATTAAAGTGCTGGCCGTGGGCTGTCATCCGTGGGTTAGAGTCTATAGCGATAACTCCCTTGTGTGGGACACGAGTGGCCAACAGTTTAGTGATCCCTCCGTCACCCGAACCCATGTCTACAATAGTGTTATATAAACTGCAAAACAAAGTATTTTTATATTAATTATCAAAACTTACACTACATTTACATACATCTTATTAGCAGTAATTGTATTAATAGTTTTAATGCCATACTTTTGTTGTATAAGATAGAAAGCGCCGTACACTTCCGATGCTATAGTGTCCCTATTCATTGACCTAGGTGCGATTATCAATTATTATAATCAATTTATAATTACGTTATGTACTATAAATGAAATTATAAATTGTTGTGTTTATATAATTCATGAAATGTATTTTAAAAATAAATTCACATGAATTTAGTAATAAATAAATACAAATTAAATATTTATTGAACACATTTATTTTGAGAAAAGCGCTCTATTCATGTTAAATGTGCATATGACAATAAAATAACAATATACATGTATATTTTGCCTACATAAAATCATTTTAAAAAATTAATAATTCAAATTGAAACTCAAATCATAACAAAAGATCACCATGTTAATTATTCTTTATAACAAACAAGTCTGAGTAGTTTATAACGAGCGACAACTTTATCGATGTGATCGTTGGCCAGAAACTATGTCCACGCGTTAGGGTTGGGCCGATCGGCCACTGGATTACACCAGACATCAAACATAATATCTTCCAAATTACAACATTCACTCATAAACTGATCCTTTGTTTTGAAGAATGATTGATAAATTTGGATAATCACCGGCATGAATGCTAGCATTGTATACATTATATTATAATTAGTAAATAGTTAGAATGATACAGAAAAATTTTAT